CAAAGCCCAAGATTCCTTGGAATGTATTTATAGCTGCTCCGTCACTAAGGCGCCAACATCTGATCCGTTCTTTCCAAAATACGTTTTAAAAAATTCAAAAGGAAAAAGGCAAGAGCCCTGTAAACAACGTCTTCTGAGGCCAGTTGTAAACATTGCCACCAGAGAGAATAGCAGACAGTTGCTTGCGAAGTCTGAACAGACCTTCAGTCTGAGAGAGAAGGCTTGAGGGTGGGGGCTGCAGAAAGGAAGAGCAGCTACTCCTCTCAGCTTCTTGGCTCCCCTGACCTGAGGAGGAGAAACCCCAGCTGACCCACCTGTTTAGAAGGAAGAAAACACGGTGAGCGAATTTCCTCGATGGGTATTGAATGCAGACTCTGTGCCATGCTCCGGGAAGGTGTATGGCCAAAAGAAGAAAGTGAGGAGCCTGGAGTCCTAATCTTCTGTGAGTCTCAGGTGCTTTTCAACTACTTCCTGGGAGAAAGAAGTTCTGTCTATAGGAGACTAGTCTATGGGAGCTAGAGGTTTTATCAAAGAAGACACAAAGTCTTAATTAATGATTGATAACACCTAGATGGGAGTCACCACAGAATTACAGTGGCAGAATCTCTCATACAAGATTCAGAAATCCAGGGGCGCCTGGGTGGCTCAGTCATTAAGCATCTGCCTTCGGCTCAGGTCATGATCCTAGGGTCCTGGGATCGAGCCCCGCATCGGGCTCCCTGCTCTGCAGGAAGCCTGCTTCTCCCTCTCCCACTCCCCCTGCTTGTGTTCCCTCTCTCGCTGTGTCTCTCTCTGTCAAATAAATAAAATCTTTAAAAAAAAAAAAAGATTCAGAAATCCAAAGGGCTGTGAAAATGAAAGTTTCTTTTTTTGTAACTCATTTGACAAGCAAAACCTGATCCAGCTTCTTCTGGTGACCAAATCTGACCTGGATTTAAGAGAAGGTGTTAGGGGGTGCTGCCCCAAGCCCCCAGATGATTATGAAATATTTAGTATATCCACCCTCCTGTCTTTCCAAAATCTGAAACATTATGAGTTCCAAGTATACCTAGCTCCAAATGTTTTGGTAATGGATTGTGGACCTGTATTATATATCTTTAAGTGTTCTTTTTTCTTTCTTCTTTTGTTCTAAATGCAGGTTAAGTTATGTCTCACACAGTATAAGCAACTAATCTATAGTTTCTTAATAAGCAGCTACGTGTTCCCAGAAAATGCACAATTTGCCAGACCATATATGTTAGCTTGCAAGGTCAGCCACCAAACTTCGGAAGAGCCCACAAGGTGAGCTTCCCACACCAGGAAACTGCCACGGCCAGGAAGGAACTGCCAGAATTATATGTAGACTACCTACGACAGCCTCAAACACAAAGAAATCACCTGAGAATCTTTAAAAAATACTGCCCTAAAATGGATCCACTTCAGTGACAATTAACAACCTTACCTCTGTGAACTCTCATATTTAAATTTTTAATTTATCTGTCTCACACATTAACGTTTTCATTTCAATGCTGGTGAGCTTTAGAACCTCAGCACCAGCTATACCTGCACAATCCCAAATTCTGAAAATTTTTATCAGTGAAAAGCATACCCCAAAACAAACTAAAAACTTAATATATACTGCTCATCCCCTTTTCCATTTCATATTTGGTGGAATCATTTTATTGCAAACACACCATGAAAGAATAGGCACTTGACAATCATTTCTTCTGGATGAATCTGGAAGGTAGAAACTCAGCTATCTGAGTAAACACTTATTAAGAGCTCAAACCCATAGGTGGAGCCTCTGGGATCGCAAAATGCTCTGCTTGTTTTTAAGGATTTGATAATCAAATATTTTCTTGTCCTATATGCCAAGCTAATTTGTTCTAAATGTAACACTCTTTAGTGGAATGTGGATGACAAATATGCATACTCAAGGATCTACAGCTTTTAAATGTTGTATCTAGTCTCCCATGTATATTTAGGCACCAAATTAAAGGATCATCTGCTTGGACTTTTTGAAATCTAAAATAGATTTCAAATCCAAAGGAATAATGTTTGCCCCAGACTGCTGCTGTTTAATGAAAGTGTTTAGCCCAGAGTTCTGTCACGTCTGTCAGAATGTCTGACTTGTAAATTTTGTGTGCTTATAGATTTGGGGAAAAAATAAAACAAAAGTTGCATACGCACATGCGTGTGCACACACACACACACACACACACACAATGAGAGAGGAAGCAATTTAAAATGAAAATAAAATAGAAAACCAGTATCTACTTCTTGTCAAACCAAAAAAAGAAAGACATAATTGCCTACATTTACAAAAAAGGCCAACAGTAAGGAGGAAGAAGAGTTATTTAGGGTAAAATAGCCAGGAATTATAACTAAGATTCATGGGAATGAAAAATTGGAGCTGTGTGGCAGAGATGGCTTGTGGCCACACACTATTTCTCCATTCTTCCTCAGTAAAAAAAAATAAAATAAAATAATTAATTAACTAAATAAATAATCCTGATTTTATTTGGGCAGCAATGAACTTAACCAAAAGATGTTCTTTCCGAAACTCTCTTGGAGCTGGGTTTGGCATGGGATTAAGTTCTGATCAATAATCTGTAAGCAGGGGCACCTGGGTGGCTCAGTCGGTTAAGCAGCTGCCTTCGGCTCAGGTCATGATCCCGGGGTCCTGGGATCGAGTCCCACATCAGGCTCCTTGCTCAGCGGGAAGACTGCTTCTCCCTCTCCCTCTGCCTGTCTGCTGCTCCCTCTGCTTATGCTCTCTCTCTATCTCTGTCTCTGTTTCAAATAAAAATAAATAAAATACTTAAAAAATAATAATAATAATCTGTAAGCAGAGTGTGGGGGAGGGGTAACAGCAAGGGAAGGGGGGAAGGCTGCCCTAAAGAGGCGGGCTCAGCTTTCCATGCCTTGTTCCTTCTGGAATAAGGAGTTCCAGGGTCCACTTGGACCATGAGTTAAGAATGGAACACGTCCCTGATGTAAAGCAAAAAGATAAGAACTTCATTCCTGATAACTTTGTGGAGTGCTGTATTTACTCCTGCCGGGCTACCTGACTTCTTTTATGTGAGAGAAGCAGCTCTTGTGTGTTTATTGTTGTTTGTTGTTGTTACATTCAGCTCTATTAAAAACCTAACTGAGATGGGCAGTTGGAGAGAATAAATCAACTGCGGGATCCAGGGCTCAGGCCCTTGCCGTTCCAAGTGTGGTGCCTGCAAGCGCCGTTCGGGCATCGCTCAGGGGCTTGTTAGAAAAGCAGTCTCTGGCCCCACCCAGGCCTCCTGGATCAAAATCCAAACTTTAACAAGATCCCCGGGTCACTTGTGTGCACTGTTTGAAAAGTTTCAGTGGCACTGACAGAGTGAATGCTCTATGAAAAGCCAGACCAAACATCATGGATTTGAATGAACTGCTGGGCAGCGTTCTTATGACCTAGGTTTCTATCCTGTCAAAAACAAAAACAAAAACAAAAACAAAAACAAAAACAAAAAACACACAACACTGAGGAAATATGACCTGATTTTGAGATCAGACATCAGACATACTATTTTCAAATGTTAAGTTTCTCAAGAGGTTCGAAATGTACTAAAGGAAAACAAATACAAAGGTTACAAAAAGTAAAAAAAACAAAAACAAAAAACTAAATATGGACTTTTAAAGATATAATTCATAATAAACTAGAGTGCTTTACACATAATGATCAAGCTGCCAAACCCAGAAACAATAACCTTTTGGTCATTTATTACACTAAAGCTTTTTTATTCTCATTTTTAAGTTACTAACCACCAATTCTCTGACAAGTTTGGGAACATCCCAACTGCCCAACTGAAAATTCATTTACCTGCACAGCACTGAAACATGAAAATTATACTTTCAGTGTACACATTCAGTCTGGAAAATTTCTCCTCCACTCCCCAAAAGGACTCCCAGTCAGTAAATGCAATTCTCTACACGAACGAGATGTTTTGAATCAACGAAGTTCAGTTAATTTTCAAATAATTTTTCTACAGCAGTATTTTAAATAAAATGTATATACAAAAAAAAAGACCAGATTTTAGTTGTACTACTACATGAGTTTCACAATCCTATCCAACCATGTAACCACCACCCCAGTCAAGATATACGACATTCCCATCCCCCCAGAAAGTTCCCTTGAGCTGCTCTGCAGGCCTTCCCCACCTCTACCTTCCCCCAGAGGCAGTCACTTGTCCAGGGGGGGTTCTTACTCTGATGTGGCCAGAAAATGGAGCCAAGAATGATTTTACAATTTAAAGCTGATAAAATAGCATTAAGAATCATAGAGCTCCATGTTGCCTGCAGGTGCTTTTACCATGCTTTAATCCTCTATAAAAAGCTCGTCTAATGTGTGGTAGCAAGGAATACAGAACACCTTGAGCTTAGTTCAGTCAACAGTGTGGGTGTTGATACAATTTGCTAAAACACTGACTCTATTTAAGTGGACTCTTGATCTGTTTTCTTTAAGTAGGTATAAATAGGTTTTAAATAGGTATTCCTTCTTTGGGGAAATCCTAATTTCAAATACTGCCTCCCGCCCTCCCATATCGGATACCAAAAAGAGCCAGAACGTAGAGTGATTTGCAGTTGAATGTACAAAGTTTACTTTTTAAAACCTTTGATTATGCCATGTTATTGTTTTGGATTGAAGGTGGGAGTTAGGTAGGCCAAACTTTGTTTCTTTTATCCTAAACCAATATATTTAACTAAAACTTAATACACAGAGAGCAGCCTCTGAGCACTGTCTTCCTTCTTTGAATCGACTTACTCCATCAATTTTTCGGTAGTCCACATTTCCCACTTTCAAGGAAATAGGCAAAGACAATATATATAATCCTTACAAAAATGATGAGAAAAGCACTGTTAGGTTTGGGTACCCTGCAAATGGAAGAGACCACTAATATTAGCAGTTTTCATTGTAAATCCAAGTAACCAATTCTTGGTTGGTTGTGTTACCAAAGCAAAAAGTATGAGACCACATACAGCACAACTCCCAGTTACTCTTAACCAACAAGTCCATATCCTGGAGAGTCACTGTGTCTCTCCTTAATGGCACACCGGCATCGGGGTTCACAGCTCTGTTTTGGGGTGGGCTGCTGCATACTTGGGTGCCAGTTCAGTGATGAGATTCACATAGTCAGTTTTTTCCGCACAGGCTCTGCACTCCTCTCCCCAGCTGTGCAGTATCTGTTTCAGCTCTGCTACCCTCATCTTTGACAGGTCCACTGATGCCAGGTCCAATTTCTTTTCTAAACAACAAAAAGGAAAAGCACAGTTTTTTAAAAACGAAAACAACCGTGAAATACTTAGAAAGGCCAGGGGTGTTTCCTATCTTGGTGCCGACTACCCTATGTTCCAAAGCGGAGAACAGTTCCAATTTCTATGGAAACCAAGATATACCTAAGGAAAATGTGTTATGTACAAAGCTTTTGGGATCATTAGTGTTCTATTGAACTTGCTTTCTATGGAATTATACTTGCTTCAGAACAGGGGTCTGGGTAGCTTTGCAGAATTTTGTGACCACTCCATGGCTTCTCAAGACCATAGTTACTAAAATGACTACATTGCATCCTAATTGCTGCTCCTAAGATAAAAAGAAGAGAATTGATAAATGGCAGTGCCTTGGGATGGTCTTGAGTGTGGCCAGCTGAAAGTCTTAGAATGTAATTAACTAGAAAGTGATGATTTGCTTTCTATACGAAGACATGTCTGCATTAAAACAGATGGACATACCTATTACAAAGCATTATCAAGTTTTTAAATACAAATTTAAGACACCAAAACACATTAATAAAATTAAGAGCATTCTCATTGGTCCTTAATTGTTTGGGATCTCTGCTTGAACTCACCTAATCCTCTGTCCCTACTGAGATTACAGAATCATCACAGCATTCATTGACAGTCTTTTGGGATATACCCACTTCTCTAATGCTAGCGCTTTGGTGCCAACCGATCTGGCTCCTAGCCTTCTTGCCAGTAACCGGCAGTAACACTTGTCATTAACATCCAACTCCTCTAGAAAGACTACTGTTTCCATTTACTATCTGCATACAATGTGAAGAACTCAGCTACTTCTCTATTGTCAAACCCAAAAATAGGAAAAACAAACAAACAAAGCTCATCTATAACATACTCATGATTATAATTTCCCTGTCAGAATGGGGAAATTCTTTTCTTTCCCCCTCCCCATGACCAGGTATGTCCTTGAACACGGATACAACATTGAAGTTTGCTTATTAGTGGCAGCCCAGGACTTTTGCAGCTTGACTTCTCTTGAGGAACCCTTTCCTTTTTTCCCTTGCATAATAAAACACAGCATTTGAAAGGCTTTTAACAACCTAACATAGTGGTCAAGTGACTTATCAAAAATTTACAGTAAGTGTGCTCAAATCTAAAAGTTGGATTTTATACTTAGGAATAAATTTAACCAAAGAGGTGAAAGATCTATACACTGAAAACTACCGGAATAAACTGAAGAGAACACAAATGGAAAAACATCCTGTGTTCATGGACTGGAAGATTAATATTGCTAAAATGCCATCCTACCCAAAGCCATCTACAGCTTCAATGCAATCCTCATCGAAATTCCAATGGCATTTTTCACAAAAAATAGAAAAAATAACCCCAATTTGTATGGAACCACTAAAGACCCTGAATAGCCAAAGCAATCCTCAGAAAGAACAAAGCTGGAAGCATTGCACTCCCTGATTTCAAACTATACTACAAAACTATAATAAAACAGTGTGGTACTGGCATAAAAACAGACACATACTAGTGGAGTAGAATCAAAAGCCCAGAAATTAACCCTTGCATATAAGGTCAACTAATATTTGACACAGGAACCAAGAATATTCAATGGGGAAAGAACAGTCTCTTCAATAAATGGTGTTTGGAAAACTGGATAACCACATGCGGAAAAAATGAAACTGGACCCCTATCTTATATCACTTAGGAAAATTAACTTGAAATAGATTAAAAAGTTAAATATAAAACCCAAAACCATAAAAATCCAAGAAGAAAACATAGGGAAAGCCTCCTTGACATTGGTCCTGGCAACGATTTTTTTGGATATGACACCAAAGCAAACAAAAACAAAAATCAGTAAGTGGGACTATATCAAACTAAAAAGTTTCAGCACAGCAAAGAAGCCATCAACAAAATAACTGGCAAGTTATGGGATGTGAGAAAATATTTGAAAATTACATATCTTATAATAAGGAGTTAATATCCAAAATATATTAAAAAACTCATACAACCCAATAGCAAAATAATCCCAAACAATCTGACTAAAAAAATAGGCAGAGGAACTGAATCGATATTCTTCCAAAGAAGACATATAAATGGCCAACAGGTCCCTTATAAGGTACTCAGCATCACTGATCATAAGGGAAATGCAAAACAGCACACAATGAGGTATCACCTCACATTTGTTAGAATGGCTGTCATCAAAAACCTAAGAGATAGCAAGTGTTGGAAACAATTTAGAAAAAAATCACTCTTGCTGGCAGTATAAGTTAGTACAGCCACTATGGAAAAGAGTATGGAAGTTCCTTTAAAAATTAAAAGTAGAACTACCAAATGATCTAGCAATCCCACTTCTGGGTATATATCAACAGGAAATGAAAATAGGATATCAAAGAGATGTCTGCACTTCCATGTTCATTGCAGCATTATTCACAATAGGCAAGATATGAAAACAACCTAAGTATCTATCAACAGATGAATGAAGAAGATGTGATGTATGTGTGTGTGTGTGTGTGTGTGTGTGATGCACACGTATACACATACAACGGAATGTTATTCAGCCATGAGAAAGGAAGTCTTGCCACTTGCAACAAGAATGGACTAAGTGAAATAAGTCAGAGAAAGATAAATACTGTATGATATCACTTATACATGGAATCTAAAAAAGCCAAACTAATAGAAACAGAGCATAGGATGGTGGTTACCAGGGTCTGGTGGGTGGAGAAATTAAGATGCTGGCAAAAGGGTACAAACTTCCAGTTACAAGTTCTGGGAATCTAATGTACACCATGGTAGTTATGGTTAATACTATATTATATACTTGAATGTTGCTAAGAGAGTAGATATTAAATGCTCTCATCACAGAAAAGATATGGTAATTATAAGACATGATGGAGGTGTTAGCCAACACGATGGTGGTAATATTGCAATATATAAGTGTATCAAGTCAACATGTTGTACACCTTAAACTTGCACAATGTTTTATGTCACCTATATCTTAATAAATCTGGAAAAAATAAATAAAAGTTAAATTTTAAAGCCTTTTTTTATTTGGATCATCAGCTACACCCTGTGCTCAGGGGACCCTTCAATTTTTATAGTGATCTCCATCCTTTAAAAAAAATAGATCTAGCAAAAACATACTTTCAGGTCAAAAGCCAAATGACACCCTCCTAATTGAAAACATAATCCAACTCTACATTTACCTTGTTTGTTAATTTCATGGCTGCCTTAATAAAATATCTTTAAACATAGATGCTTTTATAGCGCAAATTATTAATATCCCACCATTTGAAGCCCTGTTCAATCTCAACTTTCCTGCCAACCATAAGCTGGGAAGGAGAATTTAGAACTGCTGGTCTATTCAAGATAAATTATTGAAGGAAAAAGAAAACACTTTCTTGCGAGTGTCAGTAGTGTTTTTGAGTTTTTCTAGAGAACTTGGCATCTGAAGTTAATTTTAAAAGAGGAAAAACTCTGTAACCCTAAAACTATAGGGAAAACGTTGATCCCACAATTAAAACTAGTTCATGGCTCCCCAAGGGCCTCTAGTGGCCAGCATTGCCAAAACATTAGTAACTATGCATTTCTTTTCAGTAATATCTGAATAATTTTTCTATTATTCAAGGAGCCAAGTAGGATCCCTTGTATATAGCAGATGTTATTCCAAGTACATTTGTCAAATGAAAGAATCAAGACAAGTTTGTCCCTTTTGTGAATATTGTTTATATGAACTCAATGATTCCTCCCTCTCCTTCATTACTTGGAAGCCAATAAAAACAGATGCCTTCCCCATAATCACCACCTTGGAGATTAGGGCTTACCCTTGGCAAATTAAGAAGTAGGTTGTCTTTGGTATCTTCCGACCTTAAACCTATTTAAAGCCAGCTTTGTCGCTATGGTGCATAGGCATATTACACAGCTATGTTGGAAAATAAGACTAAAATAATTCAGAGTTGGGTGCTAATTACTTAGGTAGTTTATAATAAATACTACAGTGGGTCTGTAACATAAAACAATGACTTAAGCAAAAGAAGTGAGTCTTTCCTGGTAAAATCTCAGGTGTTAAGGACAGGCTAAGGGAGGGATGCCCCAGGCTTTCAACACACCTATTCAGTGTACCCAAAAGGCTGACCCAGATACAAATCCTCAGTACTGTATAAGAATAGATCTATATCTGTGAAATTCATAAGGCGAAGGATAATGTTTTAAATAGGACATCTCCTCCCTTTCCTCACTGTTTACTTTAGGCACCCTCAATAAGCTTATTTCATAAAACACAACCTGACTTGATATGAATAACCTATTTCCTAAAATTTAAAACCGGCAAGATGGTAGACAAATCTAGGGGGAAAAGATATAGTCCATGTTTAAAACTTCAAAGTCCCAACACAGCCTTTCAATAGATGCAACTTTTGTCTTAATAGGTTACCAAGAGCTAAATCACCATGAATAGCTGCTCCCTTTACATTTGGAATTTTTCCTTGACATACATAGTTCACATTGCCTTGGTGATTTAAGAGTTTAAACCTGGCTATCCGGGTTGGCAGTTTTACCCAATGCTGATTGGGCCAGTCTTCATTTCTCTTCCCCAAAGGAGCTCAGATTGGCGCTAGGCAGCATTTAGCAGCCCAGCAACCTACTGGCGAGTGGAGATTGCCTTCCTTTCTCCCACCGACTTTTTAGAAACAGGGACCTTGGTTTGGAGAATGGGCAATGCTTTGGACATATTGGAAAAATTCATTTGTCTCCATTATACCATATTTCAGTTCACAGATCTGGCTGTCCATCTTCTTGAGCTTCTCGCAAATCTTTGGTGCAGGCATATGCACACTCATTGGGCGAGCGACCTCACTGAGGATCTTTGTGGCTGCATCCTTCGTTGCGCCTAGATAATAGCACTGAAGGAGTACAAAGAGAATTTAGTGTCCTGGGTGATGAAAAAAAAATAGTAAATATAGTTTGGAGAAGTGAGAAAGAGGTTAACCTAGTTTTCATGGCCCAGCTATTAAATTTTAACCCCTGCTGACTAAGGCACCAGAAAACAAATGATTCCATCCCCATGATCATGTTAATTAGAAGTGCCCTACAATTCACACGATGCTCAAAGACTAATAAGAGCCAATGTTTGCTAAGTGTCTTCTCTGTGCCAGGCACTGCTCTTGGGGCTTTAAAGGTCTTAACTTATTGAATTCTCACAACAATCTTGTGAAGTAAGTACTATAATTATCCCCATTTTACATCCAAGTCAACTGAAGGTCACCAGCTGGTAAGCAGAAGAGACAGAATTTAAACATCTAGCATTTTGGCTCTAGAGTCCATGTCCTTCTCCATCATGCTATGCTGCCTTTCCAGCTGCCTAACTGAGACAGTTTACATTTAAAAATATGAAACTTAATGGCACAAATAAATGTTGAGAGTTTTACAATGTGTCAGTGTCGAACAGTCAACAATGCAGATTTAACTGACAAATTGAACATGAAAATTTTAGGCAAAATGAATTGGCCTGCAATGATCTGTAGTGAAGTAAAACACTTTAATGAAAAGTCATCTGTGTAAACCCAGGAAACACCATTATAAGAAAATATAAATACTTCATTTATATGTATATGTATATATACATATATATATATACACATATATATATGTATATATGTTATGTATAAATGATGTGATAAAAATGTTTTGACAGGTTTAACTAATAAGTCTCGGTAACAAATGGAGAGTCTACCCACTGTTAACCCAGGACAGAAAATTCTCATGAGGAATTTGTGTAACTTTACTTAAAACATGGAATTGCTTGTCTATTCAGAAAGCAAAATGAAACCAGATATATTCTAAATGAAAATACATAGGACTACCTTTCACTGGAAGATCAATTTCTGCTTGCTATCTACAATGAACATGCTTGAGGCAAGCATTTAAGCAGGAGAACATTAAGACTAAGATGAGAAATGAAACTATTAACAGTTTCTTCAAGCATAAGGGAAAATGAACAGGGAAAATTTACTATACCAGGCGGTTTTCTTTTCCTTTGACATCCAAGCAAAAGCTGACCAATTCCTTTTCTATGGTGTCCAGGGAAAAGTTGATTCCTCTGGCTATCAAGGAGTTATAGAATCGGTTCAAGAATTCTTTACATACTAGAAGGATCAAAGAAATTATGTGGTTATGTACAAAATAACCATGACCTCACCTATGTGTATGCCCCGCTCACCAAATAAAAAAGTTAAATATGATTCAACACATTGTGACAATGGATTCAAATTATGAGTAAGAATTGTTTGGGGTCTATAGCTATTGGCTTAGAATTGGGCCTTGAATAATATGAACTTATCGAAGCAATCAATCTTTGGAACCAACTTGAACCTAAAATGAGACTTTTCCCACAAAAGTTAACCCTGAAAGAGAATATAGCTTTATATAGGATACGATTCTTAGGACAGCTTTGTTTAAAGCACAGAGAAAAACCTGAATACATATCTTAAATGAAACCCCTTGGTAGTCTGCCTAGGTCTGTAAGTTCTATCGTCATGAACCTAAGTGAAACTCCAATTTGAACAGTCATATTCAATCCCAGCATCCAAAGCCAGCGAAGAAGCAGAGGAGCTAAGAAGTGGCACAGGCAATAACCGTAGTTAACATTTGTTGGGTGCTTAAAGGTGCTGGCGTTGTTCTGATGTATGTTATTAACTCATTCAAGTCTCAGAACAAAGCTATGCTGTAGACCCATTACTATCCTTATTTTACAGATGAGGTAACTGAGTCAAAGAGAGGCCTGTTAACTTGCCTAATAAGCGCTAGAGAGGGAATTAGATCCCAGGCCATTTGACACTGGCCCTACACACTTATCCATTAGGTACCTCTGCAGTAGGAGGATACTGCTTTTCCCATGTTGCTTTCCCAGATGGGGCAAGTGTCTGGCCCTAGCAAGCAGAGAGGGAAATGGAGGCCAGAAGCTTATGCTGGAAAACAGTGGCCCTAGTATTAGAGACAGAATTCTAGAGAAACATACTAAGGAAGAGTGGAGAGTGCTCCAGCCCTTGGTTCTATCCCTACTCTTGATTCATGGTATTAACTAAAACCAGGTAATGTGCTGCCATCCCCAATATTCAAGTGTCTTATCTCTCTGTCTGGTAAATGAGGCAAGATCCACCGATCACCCTAATACACAAACTAGACATCTACTGTAGTTTAAACTATGTTCATCTGATTAAATTATTTAATAAACATTTATTGACCATTTCCTATGTATAAAACACCTTAGGAAGCCCTACTAACAGATAAACTTCAGGAAGGAGGCAAGATCCAGAAAGGAGAATCAGGCTGCAAGAAGTAATATGAGAAGAAAAACTGGCAAGTGGGAGAGAAATCTAAATCAAGATTAACTGTGTAAACAATAATAATAAACATGTAGGGGAATAAGCATAAGGTAAAACCCAAAACAGGACAATCCTAACACATAAGATGAGAAACACAAGAAAATTCACTTGAAACTTCCTAAGATCCTTTATCATCCAGAAGAGGGTGGAGAAACATTACTGTTAAGTCATAATAATTTTTAGCCAATTACTCATGTTAACAACGTAAGGGGAATAACTAAAAAATATAAACAGATTACTTTCAGATCTGTATTGGTGCAGGGCATGGGGAGGGATTGTTCAAACATTATCAGTCCACTGGAAGACAGAAAAGTTAAAAAAAAAAAAGAAAGAAAGAAAAAGAAAGAAAGCACAATACATTTTTTTTAAAAAACATGAAATTAAGTGGGAAAAATAAACCCAAATATATCATTAATTACAACAAGCATGAATGTATTAAACTTGCAGTTATAGAACAGGATTTTTCAGAGCAGAACTATCAAAAATTCAATTATCTGCTGTTTATAAGAGTCACATAAAAAGTATGAGGCTACAACAAAAGGTTGAACAAACAAAAACAACAACAAAATTGAGGAGATTTTAAAAATAAAAAGATATACCTAGAAAATGCTAACCAAAATCTGCTCTAGTCCTATAAAGCATTTTTGAGAATAACAACAGTCACTACTAACCATAAAATGAACCATTTACCAGAAATACTAAAATAAACGTTCTAAACTAATGTACAGCCATTAACATAGCTTAATAATACAGAAAATCCTGATAGAATTATAAGAAGAAATTGACAAATTCACAATAACAGTAGATGGTTGAACATCCTCACAGGAATTATTTGATCAAATTGACCAAAAGTTAATAAGGACATTAAATATTTGAGCACTATTCACAAGTTTGACCTTATAACATATGGAACCCTTCTCCCCCAAATTAGAGAACCCACACTCTTTTCAAGAAAATATGTAATATTTACATTAATTTGCCAGGTAGTAGGCCAAAAAGCAGTTCTCAACAAGCACCAAAAAACCCGTACTAAGCAGGGCACATTCCCCGAATATAATTAGAAATCAGTAACAAAAATAATATGATCCAGGGACGCCTGGGTGGCTCAGTCAGTTAAGCGGCTGCCTTTGGCCCGGGTCATGATCCCAGGGTCCTGGGATCGAGTCCCACATCCGGCTCCTTGCTCAGCAGGAAGCCAGCTTCTTCCTCTCTCTCCCTCTGCTTGTGTTCTCTCTGTCAAATAAATAAAATCTTTAAAAATAATAATAATAATATGATCCAACTCAGTGTCTGCCCTCCTTATGCCTAAAAATTTTTTTAAAATACATACTTCTAACTAATCCGTGGGTCAAAGAAAAAGTAGTAACAGAAATGTGCAATTTTTAGTACTTAGTTCCAGTAAAAATACTATATATAAAACTTAAGGATTTGGGTTAAGCAGTACTTACAAAGAAATTCATAACATTATTATCTTTCAAAAGAAAAAAAATGAAAAATTAAAGAGTAAGCATTCAACTTAAGTTTTTAAAAAGTATAACTATATAAACCAAAAGAATATAGAAACTATTGATAATAAAACCACATAAATTAAGTAGAAAAAATAAAAATAAATGGAACTAATGGTCAGTAAAGATAGATAAGTTCTTAGCAAGGAAAAAAGTGATAATTTTTTTAAGTGGTAAATCAAATAATATTCAGACAACCAAATAACAAGTAAGAACTCTTGGTAATTAAAATATGATTGCTAAATTAAAGAAAAAAGTTGACCAGATTTATTTAGGGATCAAGTTGGGGGGGAAAATCACCAGGAAGTAGACCAAAAGACAAAAAGGTGGAAAATGATTAATAAAATTTAAGAAATTCAAGTAGACAAATACCTAAATAATATGAGCTTCAAAAAGATAGAAGCGGGAATTGTCAAAGAACCAATATAGGGAATATTCTCATTAGTGGAAGACACGAATATCTGGATTGACAGACCCACAAAATTGAAAAAGATCTATACTAACACATAAAAATCAAGAAACTTTAGAACACTGGTAAAAAAGAAAAGATTCTATAATTCTGCTGAAATCTAAAATAGCTCTAATAACAATTATGAAATAGAGTGTCATTAGATTTCTTAACACTGGAAACTATAAGAAAATAGCTTAATGTCATCAAAAGTCTACAGAAAATATGTTTTTGATCTAGAATTCTATAAACAGTCAAGCTATTCATTAAAATGTCAAAGTAAATAAAGTCATTTTCAACATTTAAAATCTCAAAATTATATTATCATGTGCTGTTTTTAAGGACAGTAGTCTTCACCAAAACATAAAAGTGAACCAATCAAAGGAATGCCTTGGGTTCCAGGAAGCAAAGGTCAAACACAACAAAGAGACCAAGGAAATTCCCAGGAGGGGAGGGAGTCTTAGGACAACAGTGGTGTAGCTGGCTGGAGAGATGCCTGTCCAGTTAAAGCAGGACACAGAAAGTCCCAGGAATGATGCCACCAAGCAGAAAATCAAACTAATAGACTACCTGATGTGGTTAACTTTTTCAGAGATGATTTTCAGTTCTGTCGGGGGGGATATATATATATATTTAATTTTATTTATTATTTAATGATTATTATTTAATAATAATTATTATTTAATAAATTTCTTAATCATATATAATTATTATTTGATAAATTTATTGATTTATCATATATATGATAAATTAATGATTGGAACAAAAATTAACCAAAGAAAACTGAGGCAAGTTTTAATTCAAGGGGAGAAAGATATACATGAAAGATGAAATCCTGGTGCACTAGATAACTGACCTTTGAATAATATTTACATGGCACAACAATATAAACCCCGAGATTTATTTTTATCCCAAGTGGTGATATAAATGTATGTAAAATGGGGGAATGGGCATGCAAGAGACAAATGTGGGTAGGTGTAATAGACCTAAAACTTCAATTTCCAAAGATAATAAAAGTGCAAAACTGAAAAAGAACATTTTAAGCAGTTTATTTAGATTAATAAGGATATGTTTTAGATGAAGCAGCTAAACTACTTGGAAGTAGCTGCAGAGGAAAGCACTATCTAGAGAAGAATGAATGGCTAGGGGCTTAACATTTTTCAATATAGGCCCAGGAAAAAAAAATTTACATTTTAAATTTATGCATATACATAACTATTTGATAAAAGAAGAAGACATACCTAGAGAGAGAATAGAGACTTTAAAATCGTAGGAAAACACCATGAGAAAAGCTTTATTTCAATAAATTCGGAAACAGCATAGACAACATCCTAGAAAAGTATAACAAAAATAGACTTATGTAGAAATAAGAACCTGAACCAACCTAAAAGCCATTTTAAAAAATTGAAGCAGTAATTAAAGATCTACCAGGGAAAAAAGAAGCCAGCTATCAGAACTATTTTATATAAACTATCACAGAGACAAGAATAGCAAAGGAAAAGAAAGAAAGGAAAGAAAACCTCCCAAACTTTAACGAGATTGGCCAAACCTTGACATCAAAGCCAGGCAAGGATAATATGAGACAAAAATGACTGGCCAACTTCACATTTTGAAAATAAAATGCACATTAAAAAAATCATAATCAAGGAAGAATCACATCAGTGACCAAGATGTTTCAAAATTAGAAAAGCTAATAATGCAATTTATTATAGGATCATCTCAACAGATGTATATGTATTTAATAAAATTGGTGCTTGCTTCGGCAGCACATATACTAAAATTGTATTTAATAAAATCGAATTCCTGTT